TCTGGTGAATCCTCTCACACCCCGAACCTCTGGCCTGTACCCCAGCTCTTATATGCATAAATAAATAAATCTTAAAAAAAAAAAAAGACAAGAAAGCCGTCTCTCCTGTTTTCAATCTGCTTTCCATTAGTGAACTTTCTCACATCTTCACCCACCACCTCCTGCCTGTCCCCTCAAGTAATGAAGCAGTTGAAAATCACAGTTTTAAAAGAATTGAAAACAAACTGCCTTTTTATAAAACTCGATGGAAAACACAGTTTCTAATAGCAGAGTTGCAGGTGCAGCCACGTGTCAAAGCACACATCCCTTACCTGTCCAACCTCCTATGCTGGTCTGTTTTGTGCCTGGTTACTGCCGTCACCGCCAGCATCAGCCGTCTCCTTTCCCACCGTGTATCTACTTTCCTTTCCTTGCAGCAGCTTTTTATCCTTGGTTTCTGGCTTTGCAGGAGAGGCTTTTGCAGATAAGCCACGATCCTTTTCTGCAAACTGTCTTGGGTTGGGCCTCCCCTGGTGGGCATCAGTTGAGTGCTGGGCTGCGAAGCTGCCCACAGCCTCTGGAGCGCCAGTTCAAACCCCAGCCGCTGGGCAAAGGTCCCACATGGCGGGACAGACCTCTCCTGCCACACCCACTGCTTCCCCTCAGCAGTGTATTTCTTCAGTCTGCCGGTACTGCTCCCCGCTCTGTCTCTGGTGAAACCTCTCACCCTCCCGCACTTCTGACTGTACCCAATGCTTGTATAAATTAAAAAAAAAAAAAAAATCTTAAAAAAAAGAAAATCTTTAAAAAAAAAAAAACAACTGTCTTGGGTTTTACCATCTTTCAGCCTATACACTTGCTCTCGTTGGGGGTGGAGCTCTCAGACTGGCTGGGGATGCCGGTGGACCACTGGCCTAGCCACCCCGGAAATTGCTCTAGCCTCTTTCTCTTCACTCTGTTCACCACTTTATTCTACAAGTTTTGTTTCTGTTGAGCTCCTGGATCCACTTCCTCATTCTCATTTATTTCTCAACTCAGTGCAAATTGTGATTTTCTTCCATGATGTATTTGGAATTAATTTATTGGTCAATGGCGACTAGTGCCAGGAAGACACAGAGCTGGTTTTCCATGATCCCAGCAGACGGGTAAAGGAGAGTCCTGGAGCAGACTCTGCAGCACTAACAAGAACACAGAAATTGAAACTGTATTCAAATTCTCTACCACATGCCTGAGTTAGTGTCTAGCAGTTTTGTACTTTGGGTCTTTTTTTTTTTTTAAGATTTATTTATTTTTATACAAGAACTGGGGTACAGGCCAGAGGTTTGGGGTGTAAGAGGATTCACCAGAGACAGAGTGGGGAACAGAACAGGCAGACTGACTGAAATACACTGCTGAGGGGAGCAGCGGGTGAGTCAGGAGAGGTCTGCTGCGCCATGTGGGTAGCTCCCTGGCTGGCTGGGGATTGAACCCATGCTGCAGAGGCTGCGGACATCCCCACAGAGCTGCGCTCCCTCCCTTGCTCCACCAGAGAGGCCCGGACTCCTAAATCTTAACATATGCCAAACTGAGTTCATTATCTCTCATGTCCTAATATGAACTATGATGGATTTGATCACCCAAGCCAGTAACCAGACTCTAGCCTTTTCCTCACCCTGGTCCCAAACCACGTATTGAGTTTGTTGATTCTGACTTCTTCCCTTTATCCCCTCACCCCTGCTAACTTCACTATTGCTTGACTGGATCCTCCCAATAGTCTCTTATGTTTCCTTGCTCCTCACCTCATTCTCCTCCTCATTAGTTCTCTGTGTAATCTGTGAAATGAAGCATATCACTCACCTGTTCAAAACCCTCTCAATACCTCTCATTGAAAGACTTCAGCATAAAATCCAAACTCCTAATCAGTCCCGCTAAAACTTTAGCAATCTGGACCTAGGTTCCTTTCCAGTCTTGTCTTTATTTCAGTCACACGAAAACACCCCCAGTTTCCTGAACTCATCAAGTTCTCTGGCTTCTCAATATCACTGAAGCTTATTTCTTTTATAACACAGTCCCACTCTTCAGAGGAGCCACACCCACTCACGTGTTTCCCAGCACCTGCTCTAGTAACAGGGTGGTCCCCAGGAAAGGGGGAGGTTCCAGGTTTCCTGCCCCACCCAAGGGAGGGTGGAGCTGAGCAGGGAGAAGAAGCTGCAGGGGAGACTGAGGAAGGAAGGAAGCAGGATGGAGCCAGAAGGAGACCTGGAGGAGGCACATGGAGCTGAGAGACGAGGCAAGAAACTGTGCTTGCCTTTTGGTCGTGGACTGGGTGACACAGACGTGGGTGAGAGACCCATGGTGAGGTGACAATGGCTGCTTTTGTCTTGATTTTGATTTTGTTCTCTTCCCTCCAGACTTGTCTGGTTGTTTCTGATCCTTTTCTGTGAGTCCCCACTGGAAGATGCTTTAGACCTGTGGCAGGCTTTGGGGCCTTGCTCTGGGCCAATCCCATTTGGATGGACTTTTACCCTGGAGGGGACGGGTAACTTTGGGTGCTTGATTTAGAAACTATATTCTTTGCCTTTCCTGTATTGTTTCCTAATTGTATTAAAGTTCCTTCCCATAAAGTCTCATATGTTTCCTTCCCATTAAAGTCTCATAAAGTTCCTTCCCATTAAAGTCTCATTTTATAAGTATAACATCCCATTTTACAAAAAAAAAAAACAATTATTGCAGCAACACTGCATTATATGCTTCAGCTGTGCAGCCTTGAAATCAACATGTGCATTAAGTTCACCACTACACGCCCAATTCTATTCACCAACATACAATTCATCCCTTTAACCTAACTCATCTACCACACTCCCCTTTTCAGTCTGCTCACCACCAAGTGGCCTTATAGTCTAAGTGTGTATTTTTGTTTTATTTAGTTCATGCATTTGTTTGGTTTCTTTATGCACCATATATGAGTAAATCATATGGTATTTGTCTTTCTCTGACTTATGTCACTAAGCATAGTACCCTCTAGGTCCATATACCACATCTTCATCCAATTATTCATTAATAGGCACTTCGGTTTCCAACTCTTGCTTATTGTAAATAATCTCGTGAGCATGGGATGCATATATCTCTTTATCAGTGTTTGTATTCTTTGGGTAAATACCCAGAAGTGGGATAACTGAACATATGGAATTTCTATTTTTAATTTTCTGATGACTATCCATATTACTTTCCATAATGGCTGCAGCAGTTTACCTTCCCACCATCCTCAGCAACACTCATACAACAACACTTCAACACTTTGCTTCTCAATTTCCTCTATTAGGCCATGAATTGCTTAGGAACCAGCAGGAGTGTTACTTTCATTCTACACTCGCAGATATAGCTAAAGAAATAACCAACAGATCTGGGGAGGGAGTTGAAGGGCCAGAGGGAAGGAAATTTGGCTTTGGTCTCCACTAAAATGGCTCTCACCTAAGTCAAGGTGATCAGTAACCACACAATTACTAAGTGGCAACTGACACATGTTCACTTACCTGGATGCTGTTTTGGAGTTCTTTCCTATATATTTTTTGAGATATCACTTTCTCTTAGACTCCTCTGGGTCTATCCAACAGATCATTTTCCTCTCCAGGATCCCTTTCTTCTGCTTACCTCCTGAATGGCTCCTTAGGCCAGCACCAGGATATTGTCTGGGTCCTCTGTTCCATGCTGCTGCCCGCTCAGCCACCCACGGCATTGTTCTTTTCCTCACCGGGACTGCCGCCTGCCTATGGTGCTGGTCCTAGAGTTTGAAAATAGTTTTTGTTATTCTCCACTGGTCAATACCTCAGTGAATGCTTCAACAAATGCTATAAAAAATTCTGAACATATGCTTCTGAATGATTTGCCCTGAAAAAATTGCTGAAGCATATGCTTCAACAAAACTCATGGCCTCCTCAGAGGAAGACTCCTCAAAGGAGGGGGCTGAGCAAAGCACAACAATTTGTTTCACTTCCTTCCCTTGCCCCATTCTCTCTCCGACTCCACCTCTTCCTCAACTATGTTCTCAACTTCCTTTAAAGTCTAACCTAGCTAACCCCACTTCAACCTTGGTCATTCTACTTCTGTCTTTTCTCCTCTCCTAGTGCAAAGCCTGACTATTGCCAATTTGGGGGAGGAGCTAAGGGCCAATTTGGGGGTGGACTGGGGCTGAAACATGACAAGTCGACCCTGAGTTTCAGCTGTAAAATGGCCTCCTCACCTCACAGGGCTACGCATGATCAAGCATATGGGGTGTCATAGACACTCCCACACATTGTGCTGACTCAGCTTCCCCATGTTGATAAAGGATGGTAACTATTCTCATCCCAGGAATCCACAGGTTGAAGAGAACAGCGGCTTTGTTGGGCACCTCCATGTGGAGAATCAGAAGTGTCCCCGATTCTGAAATAGTTACGGGTGTGCTGTTTCAGGGACTTTGGCTTAACTACTGGGCCCCCAAAGTGTTCTGATTGAATAGAAATGAGCCTGAGATTTCTTAGACCACAAGTGTCTGGTATCCACTTGGGGGACAATAATCTTACTTTTCTATGCACGTTCACTGGGTAGTCAATGTTAAGTTCAGACAGTGCATTTATCAGAAAGGAAACAGGCTGTGGAGGAGCTGAGGAGGTAGAAGCACAGCCCTAAGGCTGTGAAGATCTGACTTCCCAATTTCTGATTCTCACAACTCAGAGTTCCCTTAGAACAGAATACCCACAGTTTTTGTGTGTGTGTGTGTGGAGGGGTGGTGCGGGGGGAACCTGCTGGTCTCAGCCGCTGAGTCAGTCAGGGTGATTCCTACCTGGGAAACCATAGCAGATATCAACTATAAGGACCCCTTAATCTTTTCTGAGCACAGATCCCTCTGAGGATCCCGTAGAAGCTTCAGATTCTCTCGTCAGAAAACAATACAAACAAGATTGCTCATTTCTGTGTTCTTAGTTAAAAAAAAAAAAAAAAAAAAAAAAAAGGCCATCTATTTCCGTTCTCTTGGCCCCACCCTGAGGGCTAGATGAGGAAATGAAGAAGTGTGGGTTCACTTACTGGTGTTCACTTTTTGGAGTCATTACTTCAAGAGGATGGGAGTGCTGAATCTCTTTTTAGCTTATCCTTGAAGTTTCCAGTGTCCTGAGAAGGTCGGAAGCAGCATGTACTGGCAAGGATGGGAATGGTGTCTGGTCCTACAACTTCTGTTCCTGCTGGAGACTGGCATTCAAGGTACTTTCCACACATTGTCTGCCTGTGATTGTGCACCAGAGGTGGGGTCCGATGGAAAGGGGGTGTGGGGTGTGGCTCAACTCTGGAAGAGGAGTGTGGGCTCCAGGCAGCAGGGGGCCTTCCTTAGCCTTGGAGAATATATACCTTCTCTTTGTCTATGAGATTTGCTAAATTTGAAGAGGAAGCTGCTCTCATACTGTGTGATTAGGGTTCCCATTTCCTGGTGCCATGTCAGCCCCACATCTAAGTTTGTGTCCAGAGGCTGCTACCATTTTGTCCTCAAAAAGATCGCACTTTTAGTAAAGAAAATTTGGGAAATATTGCTTCCTCTCGAGTCTTTGAATAGGGGTCTGAGCTGAGACCTAGCCTCAGCAGTAGAGGAAACCCCAAACACCAGGGTGTTAAAAGTTAAGGCCCGATCCTCTGTGATGTGCTTGTTCTGCCCCATCCTGTGCCGGGGGCTGGTGGGGGGGGATTTGCTTTCCTTTTTCTGTTACAGCTGCCCAGCCCTCCATCATTCATCTGCCTAGACAGCCAGAAGTAAGGATTAAATCACCATACTTTTCACTATTGCACCCTCTGCCACCATAGGTATTCAGGTCTTTTTCATTTAAAGGACTTTAATACTCACCACAATGGAGAAAAATGAGAAAAATGAACAAATATGGAAAAAAAAGTCACATCATAGGTTAGAGTAGCATGTCCCTTTTAGGGGGGTCAGAAGGAAAGGTGTTGACACTCACCAGGGCCTTTCAGGAGACCCTGCTTTGGCTCTGGGGTGTGACTGCATCAATGCAGAGACCTGGTGTCTTCAGGACTCCCTGGGGTGGGTTCATCTCCTAGAATACTCACAGCATTGGAATGGGGGTGATGTGAGGTATTAATCCAATTGCTGAGTGAGAAAGATGGAGTTGCCAGAAGAAACAGAAACTTTCCGGACTTTCAGTAAGTACAGGGTACACGTGCCTAAATCGCTGTGTACAAATTATGCTACAGATGGTCATCTGAGTCCCAATTTATGACTCCCCCCATATAACCACAAGCTTTCTAAATTTAACTGTTTGCCTGGAAGGAGGTACTTTTTGTCTTACCTCTAACTCTTTGTACAAGTCTTTTCTCCTGCCTATAATTCCTGCACCTTTTCTATCCCTGCTCTCCCCTTCATGTGAATTCCTCCTGGAAAGTTCATGCTCCAGATTCTGGTTGAAGTTTGATGATCCTTGAGCTCTGTGAGATCAGGGACTATGTCTGGTGCGAACTTAGCACAGTGCCTAGAGCCCAGACTCAATAAATAATTGTTAAACAAGTGAATGAATGACCTCAAGGACTTCTTTCAGGGTATACATCCAGATCTTCTTGGGGCACAGTAGTTTTTTTTCCGCTGTGAAAAGGAATGATTTTTGGACAAATTTGGAAGCCCTTTTAGATATCTTTCTTCACCAATAACATCTGTAGAGACCTGTTAAATCTATTTGGCCTAATTCCTCTTTCAAGGCTATTGATTCCTTATTTAGTCTCAATCTTGATGATCTGTCTATAGTTGTAAGTAGAGTTAAAATCCCCTAGTATTATTATCTTATAGTCAACTGTCTGTTTAGCTCTGTTAATAATTGTCTAATGTATCTTAGTGCTCCATCACCAAGTGCATATGTATTTATAAGTGTTATTTCTTCTTGTTGTATTAGGTCCATAAAGTAATCTGTCTCTCTCTCTTATTACCTTTCTTCATTGCAAGTTTGTTTTATCTAATTCTAGCTGTTCTTGAATTCTTTTGGTTACCATTTTCTTGTAGGATTATCTTCCAGGCATTAATTCTAGGCCTGTACCTGTCTTTGTTGGCAAGATAGGTTTATTTTCAACAACAAAATGTTAGACTTTGTTTTGAAATCCAATCAGTCATTCTTCACCTTTTGACTGGTAAATTCAGTCCACATACATTTCAGGTGATTATTGCAACATAAGTACTCATTGCATTTTGTTCACTTTTTAAAATGTGTCTTATCTTTTTCTTTTTCTTTTTTTTGAGGGCTTCCTATTATGTTTTGTGTTTCCGTTGTCTTACATGTTGTTTCTATTGATTTCTGTTTTAAGGTTCTACTGAGGTTAGAATATGACAGACTATTTGTGGGACCTATTAGATGGTCTAGTCTCAAACTCATTCTGATGGGTCACATTGTTACTCTACTCCTTGTGTGTGTTATATAGTTTATGCGCCTGTTACCACTGTATTTGTTGTTCTGTTGCTTTATAATAACTCCTTTAACACTTTATCCTTCCTCAGACTTCTTTCATGTACATCTTGGCCTTGATAAATTCTTTTAGGTTTTGCTTTACAGTACATATCCTTACGCAAAACCTCTTTCCTTAAGAGTTTTACTGGACAGGATAGTAGTGACATTTAGAGAAGTCAGAATGTCCTCTTTAGAAACATTTCTCTCTCTTAGTAGATTATAACTTTCTTTGATTTAATTTTTTTCCATTTTAATATTACTTTCAACAGACAAAAAGCATGGTACAAGAAAGATCTTGTTCATTTTCTATTACAAACTAAGGTAAACAGTTACTTTATCTTGAGCATGCAGACACATAACCTTATTTCTTTTTTCTTTTAGAAGTAAATAAAAATGATATTTGTCCTTAATGTAGTTTTCTTACCATCTAAAATATAAAATTGTTAGGAAGGTAATAAAGCTTTTGTAAATTTACTTTAAAAATAGAAATAAATTTATTATACAAGAGAAAAATATCAATGAACAAATATATATGTATTTATTAGATAACTTTCTGTTAGCCAATGAAAGTACCATATTGATATTCCTAATAGTACTGCATGTCTCTGCATTAATTGGCAATCTATATTAATAAAATTAATCCATCTTTGTTCTTCAACCTGTTAATGAATTATAGCATTCTTTCAGAAAACTAGGATATTTTCCCTTTTATATGGTCAATGAAGATCCTTTCTACACCTTCTATTTTTAGTATTGTTATTTTTCTAGGCAATCTTTTCATTTAACATTTCATAACAAATTTAACTCTTCCTTCATTATTTTCAATACTGAGGCTGCTTGATATAAGATTTCCCTTGGCTTTTATTTTCCCCTTGATGGCTTTGCATTAACTTATAGATAACCTGAAACCTTGAGTGCTATAGTCAACAATCTTTGAGTTGTTTCTTTTGAGAATTACTGGGTGCTCCTCCACTGCTGCTCTGCTTTCTGGTCTTAATGCTATATCTTATTAATTTACTCCAGACTCAGTCATAAGATAGGACTCCACTGGCCCAGTTAGGTCCCATCGCAATATTTAAGAGACACAATTCATTGATCATAATAATTAAGTAGTGACTCCAATTTCTTTTTGCAGTGTCTTAAAAGACATTAAAGGAAACACAATTTGTGAAATATGGCAGCACTTCCTGCAAGGCTTTTCCTGCCCTCTTCAGTCTTTTCATCCCTCTTTGACAGAGATTCTGTCAGAATCTCACTTGGAGCATTCACGTTGTAACATCTGTATCCAACCTAATTCATGTTGTTCTAGTCTTTGTGTATCTCCTCTTTCCCTCTGGCCTTTTAGTCCAAACTCATGTTAAGGTGTAAGCAAGAGGGAGAATATGTATAATACAAATGTGAAATTTACAATAAAAATGTAAAAAACACTTTTGACTAGTAGGAGGTCATGAAGAAGAGTAGATAGGAACACTTACGGAGGCATTTCGTCCCTGTCAGTCATTCATTTGCTAATTCAATTCCACAGTAAACACTATAAGCCAAGTATTGTGAGGATTCAAAGTTGCTTAAGATGTGACTTTTGCACTGAAGAAGCCCACAGCCTTAAGGACTATGTGTTACTTCTTCACAAGTCAGTTTGAAGTTCTTCTAAGCATGTAGGGATACCCTTGCCAACCATGACCCCATTGTCCTATAAAGCAGAATTTGTTCTCAAAAGAAGAAAAGATGCAAATTATAACTGGATCTGAATCATAACTTGAGTCACAATGATCTGTATCCTTTTTGCTTTTGACCCATCATTATTCTTCTGTCCTCGAGGAAGTTTCAGGGAAGATCTTTGATCTGGTGATAGTGCTGGGATTCTTATTACCATCATATATCCTAAGCTAGTGATCTGCCCTTCTTATCTCTTATACATACAGTTGTCTTGTACATTTAGATCATCAGGCTATGAGTGAAAACTTCTTCAGGAACTGTTATGATTCTTTGAATTTTAGTCCTCTTCTGCCACATTCTTCACTCTTTCATATTCACATATAGGGGTTCATTTCTAAAAAATATGTCATTAATTTTATCTTTGTTTTGTTATTCTTTGGGTAGAACAAAATCATTTCAACAGGCAATTATTAAGCTTATTAATAATTTAGCCATAGTTCTACAAAGAGCTGCTGAGATTCAACAAAAACAAAGTGAATAATCCAGTCAAAAAATGGGCAGAAGAGCTAAAAATAAACTTCTCCAAAGAAGAAATGCAAATGGCCAACAGACATATGAAAAAATGTTCAACATCACTTGTAATCAGGGAAATGCAAATTAAAACTACAATGAGATACCATCTTATACCAGTGAGAATGGCACATATTAAAAAAAACTAGCAACAACAAATGTTGGCAAGGATGTGGAGATAAAGGAACTCTCCTGCACTGCTGGTAGGAATGCAAACTGGTCCAACTGTTAGGGGGAAAGGATGTCCTGAGCTAATTCCATACAGGCTTTGTGGACTCCACCCCCACTCCAGACCAAAGCCATCAAGACACTGGAAATGACAAATCCCATCATCACCAAAGGGAGGGTTGCTGGGACCTGACCTGAGGGCGGAGTTAGCTGCCCGGTTTGATATAAAACCAGATACACGGGCCTTGGGTCTCTCTCTTGGCCTCACAGCTCTTGACTCTTCACCAGCTCTCAGCCTGCCATTGGGATTCCAGATCAGCAGATCGGGTAGGACGCATTCATGAGTTAATCTCCCTCTTTTTCTCCCTGAGTTATTCATTTCTTCATTTCCCCTTTCTTTTATAAATAAACCTTTTATTAATCTTTTGTGTGTGCCTACAGGTGAGTATTAATAAGTAGCCCCTTTTAGGCATGCAGGTGAGGACCCATAGTCAGGCAACCCGTTTTGTATTGGGGTTCCCTATAACACAACCACTATGGAGAGCTGTGTGGAGAGTCCTCAATCTGCTAAAGATGGAGCTTCCATATGATACAGCAATTCCACTGCTAGGTATTTACCCAAAGGACACAGAAATATTAATTCCAAAGGGCACCTGCACCCCTCTGTTTATAGCAGCACTATTTACAATAGCTAAGCTATGGAAACAACCCAAATGCCCAAAAATAGATGACTGGGTCAAGAAGATGTGGTACATATACACCATGGAATATTACTCAGCAATGAAAAAAGATAAACTCATGCAATTTGCAGCAACATGAATGGAGATGGAAGGGATCATGCTCAGCAAAATAAGCCAGAAAGAAAAAGAAAAATACCAGATGGTCTCACTCATAGCAGGAATTTAGAAAACCTAAATAAGGGACCAGAAAAAAGACGAATTATAATAAAGTAAAAATCAAAATCAACAAGCAACTATTAACCAGAGACACACTACAGTGGGGGAGGAGGGAGTAGGATCAAATCAAGGGGGGGAGGGGGAAAATTGTGTGGGGACTATAACCAAGACGAAAATGCATACGTTGTGCAAAAATGAAAAATGATGCAAAAAATATATAAAATATAATAAAAATACAATAAAAAATAATTTAGCCATAGTACTAATTATTATAGATACAAACTATAATGTAGGTGATAATAATAAAATAACAATACATGAAAGTTATTGAACGCTTACTAATATCCCAAGTATTATTCTAAGTACTATATTTACATTAATTAAATTGTATTCTAAGCATTTTAAGTAGCTCTGACTCCTACCACCTACTGCTGGAACCCATGGAGAACACAAGTCTTGGGAGTAGAGACATGATCTGTCATGATTTTATTTGAAAACCTGCTGTTTGATTATAAGGGATAGAGCCAGGACCAGAGAGTTTCATTATGGTCTGAGGCAAAGCTAGATGGCTTTTTAGTGTTATCCCTGTCCCTACGCTTACTTCTAAAGCTCCATTTTTTAAAAAAGATTTATACATAGAAGACCTGGGGTGTAGGCCAGATGAGCAGGAGGGTGCGAGGGTTCGTTCACCAGAGACAGAGGGGAGAGCAGAACAGGTGGATATACTAAAATGCACTGCTGAGGGGAGCAGCAGGTGACACATGAGAGGTCTGCTGAGCCATGTGGGTCTCCTCCCTGGCGGGGATCGAATGCCTGCTGCAGTGGCCGTGGATAGCTTCATAGTGCTGCGTTTTAACCCTCTGCACCACCAGGGAGACCCTAACGCTCCAATTTTATTGAGTTGATCATCAGGGACATTTCCTCTGATGCAACCCATACTCATCGCTACCAAACAGAAACTTCTTCCTCCTCCCTTGCCCCACAACCTCCCAAAGCCTGAACTGCACAGCTCTGCTTCTCCAGTGCAGGCTCACTGTGACTCTCCCTTGCAGGTCAACCAGAACACAAGGTGACTGCCCTTGCTGGCAGCAACGTGCGTCTGCTTATGCCCCATTCGGGTAAATACAGAGAAGTCAGCTGGTTTTTCAACACCAGCAAGAAGATTGTGTTATGGGATTCTGGAGAACTTACATACTTCGATAATGAAATGAAGAGCAGGATCCATCTTGATCAGTCTCGTACATTGCACATCTCTCGTGTCCAGAAGAGTGACAGCAGCACCTACATCTGCGAGGTGGTGAGCAACGAGGGAAAGATAGAGCAAAAGACCATTCAGCTGCAGGTGTTTGGTGAGTTGGGGAAACTGAAGGGCAAGTCCCCTTTCCAGGGAGATCCAGGGTGTACCCCGGGAGGCTTCCTGGGGATCATGAGGATGCTCTGGGAGGAGGAGAAAAAAACCTCAGGGCAGGCTTAATCATTCCTTGTAAGCCAGTTCCATCTGAGGTAGAGCCTGCATCAGCAAAAGGCAAAGCAAATGACTTCACTGTGTGCAGGACCCAGGCATGTCGTACTCGAAAACTGGTGTTTTGTCCTTCCTTTCTCATAGCTGCTCTACCCACTCCACCTCCCCCCATCCATCCATCTGCTGTCCATCTTTATAGATACTTACAACACCTGCTATGTGGCCAGCTCTGTGCTAAACCTGAGATGAGTCTACAGACACAGTGCTGTCCTCTGCATGTGCTAGGGCCACGAGAGACTCCTCTAGCTCCGCCACAGTCCAGGAAAGGGCTTTGCCATACACAGGCCAGTCCCTCTGACCCCAGGACTCCTGTTGTCTCTGGGTCGAGGCGCTCTTGCAGGATGAACGGGCCAAGGTGTCGCTAGCAGGCCATTGCTAGAGAAAGGCTCCAGGGCAGACTTGGGTAGGATGCCAATTCTTGGTCCCAGCCCTTCTCTGCCACAGTGGGTCATATACCTCTTTTGTTTGTTTGTGTGGTATGACCCTGGATCCAGCTTAGCTTTACTCCAGGGTAGCTCCACTGCTTGGAGATGCTGAGGACAAAGAGCTCCCTGACTCCCTGTAGGGCTCTTCTGGATGATGGTGATTTCCACCACATGCAGAGACTTCTGGTTCCCTTTGCGCTTTGTTGGCTCAGCCCTTGATGCTACTGTAAGCACTAATAAATATACTACATTTATTTTTTTATCTCATACACCTCTTATCTTTAGGTCCTGTGCCCCAGCCAGTTCTAAAACAAGAGATGATAAAAAAGGTGAACAGCAATTGTTTTCTAAACCTCTCATGTGTGGTGCGTGACCCATCCGTGAGTTACAGCTGGTATGGGGAGTCAGGGCTCCTTCCTGAATTCCAGCACGGTATGCTTGAGCTCATCGTCAACCAACAGAACTACTCTGACTTTTACACCTGCAATGTCAGCAATCCTTTTGAATGGAAGAAAGCCACAATCAATGTCTCCTCATTGTGTGTGCCGGGTAAGAAGTTTCCCCAAGTGTGCAGAGGAGGCCTGGGTGATTTGTTTCCACTTGAGAGAAAAAGGGGTAAAGACCACCTGGCTTCCTAGCACAGAACTTGGTGATGAGACTCAAAGGGACTTCAGGGTCTACCTGGGGCTTTGCCACTGGCCTTTACAAGCCCCCCCCTGCCTTGTAGAGCTCGGGGCCTTCACCTGCAAGGGTGACTGGCACAGGGTGGCCATGGGCCCCTTGTCCTGACTCCTTTCACAATGCCTGACCCTGACACCAGAAGCCAGGGCAGACATGAACAACCTGAGGTTTGAGGAGAGCAACATGTGTCATTCATTCAACACATGTTGTTGAGAGGACAGCTGGTGAGCAGGGCCTGAGGGGTCTGCAAGGTAACCTGACTAGCATGGATGCAGATGAGTAGATGGACTTGCGTGAATGAAAACAAGCAGTGGCCAGAGGGAGAACCTTACCTTAAGTCATACACTCCACTTCCCTGGGTTCATGAACTTGAAAGTTCTGATGAGCTTGAAAGGCATATTTTGGGTTTCTCTTCAGTTCTTCTCTCTGGGGCACCCTCCCAGAGCCTCAGTCCCGCTGTCTTGACACAGTCTGATGGTGGAGGAGCTAGACCTTAGGTACGGGAGCCAGCCACCCCGGCGACTAACCTGGGATTTACAGGACTAGCCAAACATGTTGTTTGCTTCTCCAAGTCACATCCTTCTCAAGTAACAAATAGCAGTTCTTACATGTTGTTGTTGTTTGTTTTTTTTTTAAAGATTTATTTATTTATTTATACAAGATTGATTGATTGATTGATTGATTTATACAAGCACTGGGTACAGTCAGAAGCGCGGGAGGGTGAGAGAATTCACCAGAGCCAGAGCGGAGAGCAGAGCAGGCAGAAGGACCGAAGTACACTGCTGAGGGGAGCAGCGGGCGGCAGGAGAGGTCTGCGCGCCATGTGGGACCCTCCTCCGGTGGCCGGGGAGCAGCGGGGGATCGAACCAGCGCTGCAGAGGCAGCGGGCAGCTTTGCAACCCAGCAATCAACCGCTGTGCCACCGGGGAGGCCCCTTACATGTTGTTTTAAGGATTACACGGGACAGTATAGCCAACCCAGCTAGCACTGTGCCTGAGGAGACTTCACTGAATGTAGCTAAATTATGTGTGCCCAGTCCCTTTAATCCTGGAAGCCCTAGGTGCCAGGGACACCTTAACAGACTTGGAGACTCTCTCCAGCATTGCAGACTGTGTAGTCTCCCAGAGACTACACACCCCGGGCCCTGGTCCACATATGCTTCGGAATAGCTGTGCCAACATGGGGCATGTGTGGGGACATTTTCTTGCGGTCTTCTGAGGCCCAGTCTATTCCTCGCCTGTGCTGACCTTTTACCTCTGCTCCCATCATGGACTCGAGAGCCCATGCCCTCTTTCTTCTTCCCACTAGAGGGAAGAAGAAGGACCTGCCTCTTCTCTCTCTCCTGACATGCCTGCTTTTCTTCCACTGCAGACCCCCTGAGCCAGTGGGGTGTCTGACTGAGGGACCACAAGTTGGTCTGACCAACACCACCTTCATGTCAGATCCAGAAAAAGGAGGTGATCCTGTCCTTCATAAATCAACTGCTTACTGCAGAGAGGGGTAGGCAACCAGACACCCCTTTTCTTGAAGGGTTTAAGCCTCCTGTCACCTTTAAGCCACCCCAGTTCTCCTTGAGCAGTGTCCTTAATGGCTCTTTCCTATGTAATCCCTCTACCCTTTCTCCTTTCATTGTCTGCTTCCCCCCTCCCCTCCCCCTCTCTGGCCCTCTCCCCTCCCCTCCCTCTCTCCACTCTTCTCTCTTCCCTTTTTTGACCCTCCCTCCATTTTTCTTCTTGTCTTTCTCCTCTCTTCTCTCCCATTTCCTCTCCTGTCTTCTCCCCTCCCTTTTACTCTGCTCCCCTCTTCTCTCTTTTTCCTCCTTCCCTTCCCTCCTCTTATTCCCTCCCTTCCTACCTCTTCTCTTCCCCTTTCACCTCCTACAGATGGTTAATGGCCTGAAGATGGAGGGGGGCTGAGGTTCTTCCTTCCCTGAAGGCAGCTGCACACAGCAGCTTTATGCGGTTATCTGCGCACACCTGGGCCCTGCCAGCTCCTGCTGTCCCGCAGAAGCGAGTCTCCCAGGCTGCGGACACCCCTGGCCTGTCCTGTGGGCCCCCAACCCAGTGTTGGCTCCCCCCGCCCGACGCCATGTTAAGCAACCAGGTAATGTGAGGTTCTCTTGCTCTTTCAGGTGCGTCCTCTGTGAGAGCCTGGCCTGTCCATTGGCTGGTGGTCATGCTGCCCACAGTTCTTGGCCTCCTGTTGATGTAAGAGGAGCGTTTCCCACTCCCGTGCGGCTTCTGCGTGCAAGAATCTTGCCTTGGTCTGCAGCAGGCTGAGAACTCTGGTATATAAATGTGTTATAGAGCAGCCCCGATATTGAACGGGTTCAAATGGAGAAATAGGTTTGGGTTTTTTTTTTTATTACATTTTTTTTTATAGAGGCATGTTTTATTTATTTATTTGTTTGTTTTGTTTATTTATTTATACGAGCAGTGGGTGCAGTCAGAAGCGCGGGAGGGTGAGAGAACTCACCAGAGCCAGAGCGGGAAGCAGAGCAGGCAAAAAGACCGACGTACACTGCTGAGGGGAGCAGCGGGCAGCAGGAGAGGTCTGCGCGCCATGTGGGACCCTCCTCTGGGGCCGGGGAGCAGCCGGGGATCGAACCGGCGCCGCCGAGGCCGCGGGCAGCTTCGCAACCCAGCGCTCAACCGCTGCGCCACCGGGGAGGCCCAGGTTTGGTTTTTTTAAGCAGGGCGGGAAAGAGACGCGCAAGGGCCGTGGCTGCCGCCCTCCTCCTCCACTAGCGCCGGTCGCCCGACGTGGGAGGGGAGGGGAAGGGGAAGGGATGGGAGCCCCCAGTCCAGGCACGACTGCGCACGCCGGCGGCAACAAAGCGGCAGAAACGCTCCAAACGCCGCTCCCGGACTCGCGGCGCCGCCCGCCTCCTGTGAGCCCCTAATGCGCCAAGCGTCCCCCTAAAGGACTCTCGCGAACGCCCCCTTCCCCTCCCGTCCCAGCCCGAGGCCAGAGGCCCCGGTGGGCGGGAGAGGGGGGTGGCAGAGAGGCGGCGGGGGGCTGGTCTTGGGGGAGTTGGGGGGTGGCCGCGGCGCCGCAGGGCCCCGGTGGAAGGGCGCCGCCTAAGCGTCAACACCGCCGCCCCCCCAAAAAAAAGGCGAGGCACGCGCGCCCCCTCGAACTCCGCGCCCCGGCCCCCTTCCCCGCGCCAGAACCGGCCACCTCCAGGACTCCGGTCCCGCGGAAGGGGAGGGGAGAGGGGGCGTGGGGGGGAGAGGGGGCGTGGGGAGGGGCGGGGGAGAAGAGAAGGGGTGGGGAAGAGAGGGGGCAAGAGGGGGAGGAGGGGAGAGAAGGGGGAGAAGAGGGGGGAGAGAGGCGCCCCATGAACGTGCAGTGCGTGAAGGGCGAGGAGCGGCAGGCATTCCCGAGAAAGACCTTGTTGAAGCAGAAGCCACAAGGATGCCTGGATATTCAGCCAGGTGTTAATCTGGGTGTGTGCGTTCGCGTGCGTGCGTGCGTGCGTGCGTGCGTGCGTGTGTGTGTGTGTGTGTGTGTGTGTGTCTGGGTGAGGCTGACATTTGAATGCGGGCCTGAGTGAAGCGAATTGCCCTCCCCAGTGGGGGTGGGCCTCGTCCCATCTGTTGAAGGCCTGAACTGAAGGAAAGCTCTCCCTCCTGCCAAGTGGCGAGACTCCTCCGGCCTGCCCGCCTTCCCGCCAGGACATTTACTTTTGTCGTATGTAGGGTAAATAGTTTTCAGGCTTTTCTACCCTCCCACCATTAGGATTGCCCTGCCTGATGGGGCACCTGCAGTTGTTACACTGTTGTGGTGTTTACTTCTGTGGGCCATGGGAGGAGTATTGGGATAGTCACCAGAGGAGCGGAAGCAGGAGAGAGAAGAGGAGAAGGCAGGCCAGAGAAGCCCAGAGTGAAGACCTGCTGGGGGCTTGGAGGCCTGCCTGCCGTGTACCTCTTTGCCACACTATATGTAAAGTTCAATAAAAACCTGAGAAAGCCATGGAGGGCTCCAGGAATCCTCCTTTACATGGACATGGACAACCTGCTCTGTGACCATCCTGCCCCTTCATCTTTCCTTCATATCTGGACTGGAACTACGTCATCACAGTGCTGGAGCTCCAGCTTGCTGACTCAGATCTTGGGGCTTGTCAAGCTGCATGAGCCAACTCCTTATAATAAATCTCTTTACATGTATGTGTGTCTTAAAGTTCTTGTGTGTGTAGGTCTCCTGTGTTTCTCTTATATGTGTATGTGCATGGTATCTCCTGTCTTAATGTGTGTGGGTCTCCTGTGTGTCTACTTATCTCCTACGCATGTGTGTATCTCCTGTGGCTGTGTCTCGAGTGAGAGTATCTCCTGTCCTGTGTGTGTGTGTGTTTGGGTATCGTCTCTGTGTATATATGTGTATGTATCTACCAGTAGTAGTATCTACTACTGATTCTGGTTTTTTTTTTTTTAATAAATAAAGATTTATTTATGCATACAAGAACTGGCGTGCAGGCCAGAGGTGCAGGGGGTAAGAGGATTCACCAGAGACAGAGTGGGGAGAGAACAGGCAGATCTACTGAAATACACTGCTGAGGGGAGCAGCAGGAGAGACAGGAGAGGTCTGCTGCGCCATGTGGGTACTTCCCCGGCTGGGGATTGAACTCATGCTGCAGTGGCTGCAGATAGCTTCATAGTGTTGCGTCTTGACCCCTGGCACCACCAGGGAGGCCCCCTACTGGTTCTGTTTCTTTAGGGAGCTCTAATACATGGGCCAATACAGAAAAACTCCTTTCCCCAGTCTTACGTGGATGGCCACCAGAAAGGCATCACATGATGTGGCAGGAAGTGAGCTCAGTGGTGGAGTCATATGAAGTCAGGCACCCGGGTCCAAACCGCAAGCTGCCTGGTCTTGGTAGGGTGTGCCTGGTAAAGGAAGTTTGGGTTTATTTGTCACCACAAGATATTCTGGGCCCCCAAGACACCCATTCTCTGCAAATCCCCTCCAAATTCACCTCTCACAGCTGTTGTCCTTTGATGGGTCTCTTCACTGTGCCTGTCTCCTTCCCTTTTCCCTTTCTCTTGGTAGAAGAGGAGGTTTTCTTGGGCAACACAGACACATGTGTGCTCTGTCTTTCTCTCTCTCTCTCACACACAAACAACATACACACACACATACAAATACACACATACGGTAGAAATAATAAGAGGAAAGAAATATTACTTTAAGTAACATGTTACTTTAAGCAGCACAGCTCTCCAGACGTCATGCTTGTATTGGTCTATTGACTTGGAAACCTGAGTCAAATCCTACCAGAGACACCCAAGTCACCAGCACCAACACTCCCCTGCCCCATCCCCATCCCTCAAGGCAGTACCAGACACACACTTTGTGGCTTTGTGGGACTCAGTGCATACTGAAAATGTGGACCCCCTTCTTCAAGAAGCAGAAAAAAAAAACTGTCATTAGGGCCAGGTGCAGCTGGGGTTGCATGGCTAAGCTGCAGCAGCTCCAGGTGCAGGAAGCAGTAGATTCTACAATGAAGAATAGAGAGGGGACACCCGGAAGTCACCGGCGTCATCTGGTGCAGCACTGGCTGTTGTGAGGACAGCCAGGCCTCCAGGCAGGAGGCACACCAGCACCCTGAGCACTGTCACGTGCCTCTGGATTTATCGAGCCCAGGCCTTGGTGACCAGCTAGCTGGAGAAGCTCCAGGACTACCTGGCCTGCTGCACCATGCATTGCAACAACAAAGCAAAAGATTCACGTAGATGCAGGAGGTAAAGATGACACGGCAGCTGGAGGTTGTGTGTCAAGCGTGTGGATGATCAGGTGCACCTCATCCAGACCATGGCCAGGAAGGAGTCGCTCTCATTCATGGGAAATAAAAGTCTTTGCCATTGGCCATTGGGGCTTAAGGCATGAATCTATTTTAAAAGAGGAATGAGAATTTGGATTTTTTTTTATTTAATATTTTATTTTATGTAATTCTTTTTTCATCTTTGCACAATGTATGCATTTCATTTTGGTTATATTCCCCATACAATTGCACCCCCCCCTTATTTTGACTCTAGTCCTTCCTTTCCCTCCCCCTCCCTCCCTCTCTCCACCCCCCCCCCCCCGTGTGTGTCTCTGGTTTATAGTTGCTTGTTGATTTTTATTTTTACTTTGTATTGATTAGTCTTTTTCCTGGCCTCTTATTTAGGTTTTGTAAGAGAATTTGGATCTTTTAAGCGAAATTTTTGAATGAAGAAATTAAGGACAGCAGCAAGGTTAAAGCATATGTCACTTGCCTCTGGACGCTGGTTCCTTTATGTTTCAATGCTATAAAGTGAAATAGAAAAAAACTGGTGCTAAACTCTGGATCAGAAATGGCACAGGGGAGTTTTGGAGAGCCCAAATCTCACGTGGCAAATGCTGGTCCTGGCAGGAGGGATTTCCCTTGGACCAAACCAAAGCCCTCCACACTTCAGCTTCTTGTTAGTACAGACTCCACGTTGGCAGATCCTCTAACCCACCTGGGACCTGGTAGGGTGCTAGGAGAGGTACTTGTTGCCAATCCCCTCTTGGCACAAAGATCACCACACCATCAACTGTGGAACAAAGTCCCCTAGAGCATGAATTTAGAAGGTGGAAAAAGATTTCTGGGTCTTCGTTTTGCTTGGTTTGGTTTTATACAAACCAAGCGCTTGTTGATGACTGTCTGTGGTCATCAAGATGGGGATGTGCATTACTTGAAACTCTCACGCATTACATCTTTCAGCTGAGAGGCCCTGCAGAAACAAGAGAGGCGGAGCCCCACTGGGTGTGGGAGACAGGCTCCCCTCTCAATGGTTCCTGAAATTGCAGTAGAGGGAAGGGACAGCCTTACGGTGGCACTGTCCCTGGAAGGGACAGGGGTTTCGATTGTGCTATCTACCAGTATCTGGGAATAAACAGTGCAAGAGGCACATTTGGGTATTTAATTAAAAGTTATGATGTGCTGGATTTAGAAAAACCATTCACAGATGACTGCACTGAAAGCCTAAATGCAGTATTGCTGACTCAGCCTCCTGAAATACCAGAGCCCTAGAGAGACAGCCTTTTGGTGACAAGGTCAAGGGAGAAAAAGTAAGCACCTCAGGAGTGGGAGGAGGAGGAGCTGTGATTCCCTTGGAGCAAAGAACAGGGAAACATCGTGCAGAGTTCTGCCCCAGCTCTGTTGCCAACTAGATAAAGACTTTGTCTTTTTACCAACTGATTACTTGAAGTGATAATATCGCCTGTTTGCTGTTTCAAGGCTGTGATATATTATCCTAGCGGTCTGGCTAGAAAAAATAAATAAGGTCTAGTTTTTCCCTCTCTCCTACCCTTCCAAAAAAGTTCCATTAAATGATTAAAGCATAAAGCTTTTTCTTTTCTTCCTCAACCTCTCTCTCTACTTGGGATTGCATTTTTTATAGACTATTTAATATTGCTCCAAATAAAATTAAACATATTAATGGTTATTATAAATTTTACTGCTTTTATTGTGCAGTGTCAGTTTGCAATGAAATATGAGAAATCAGATGTGGAATTGTTACAGGGCAGGGAGAGGGGCACCCCAGACC